TCTCCAGCTTTTGCACTAGTCTCTTATGTGGTACTGTGTCAAAGGCTTTCAGGCAATCCAAAAATATGCAGTCTGCCCACCCCTCTCTTTGTTGCCAGATTTTTGGTGCCTGGTCATAGAATTCCGTTAATCCTGTGAGGCATGATATGCCATCCCTGAACCCCATGCTGATGATGTTTTACGACGTTCGTTCGCTCCAGATGTTCCACAAGCTTTTTTCGAACAATCTTCCCATCATCTTGCCTGGTATGCAAATTAAGGATACTGGCCTGTAGTTCAGTGCCTCCTGTCTACCATTCGCTGTCTGTCTATATTACCTTCTGTCTACATTCGCTGTCTGCCCAATTTTTGGCAGTTACCAAGTGATTTGTTAAATACCATGGAGAGTTTCAGACAGAGTGCTTCTGCTCGTTCTTTTAGTATTCATGGTGAGATTTCATCTGGGCCTATAGCCTTTGTGACAACTTACTCTAGCAGATGCTTCCTCACCTACCCGTTAGTAATCTCAAACTTCTCTAGTGGTGCCTGGTTAGTTATTCCCTCTCTTATCTCTGAAACTTCTCCTTGCTCTAATGTGAAGACCTCCCGGAGTTTGTAGTGAATCTGTCTGTTCCTATCCTTAGTTTCATTAACTGTTCCTTCACTGCTGTTTTTCTTCTGATGTGGCTGTGCAGCAATTTAGGTTGAGTCTTTGCCTTGCATGTTATGTCATTTTCGTATTGTCTTTCTCCCTCTCTTTCCACCCTGATGTATTCATTCCTAACCCTCTGGTATTTTTCTCTGCTCTCTAGTGTCCTGTTATTTCTATAGTTTCTCCACGACCTTGTGCTTAATTGCTTAGCTAGCTTAAATCTCTAATTACCCCATGGGGTTTCTCGTCTGCATTTCTTGTTTTTCTTTTTTGGACTGGGACAAACTTGTCTGCTGCCTCCTTACACTTCTGCATGATGTAGTCCATCATGTCATGGCTGTCTTTCCTCTGAGCTCTGTTTCCCATGTTATATCTGTTTGGAATTTTCTTATCTCATCATATTTTTTTCTTTCGGATTGCCAGCCTTTTGTTTTCTGGTCCTATCCTGAAACCGGCGGCTAAGCAGACAGAACACTGGACGGGTAATCCTGTGGTCCCGGGTTCGATCCCGGGCGCCGGCTAGAAACAATGGGTAGAGTTTCTTTCACCCTGATGGCCCATGTTACCTCGCAGTAAATAGGTACCTCGGAGTTAGTAAGCTGTCACGGGCTGCTTCCTGGGGGTGGAGGCCTGGTCGACGACTGGGCCGCGGGGACACTAAAGCCCCGAAATCATCTCAACATCAACTCAAGATAACCAAGATCCTTGAGTACATTAGCCCTACTTCGACCAGATACTCAAACACCAGTACACTGTGATCGCTCATTCCCACGGGGTCTTCGAAACCGATTTATCTTATGTCGTAGTTTTTCAGAGTGAAGACTAGGTCGAGTCTTGCTGGTTCATCGATGCATCTCATTCTTATGGGTCCCTTGACATGCGGACTTAAAAAGATTCTTGTTGCCCCTTCCAATAGTTTAGCTCTCCATGCTTCCTCACCTCCATGTGGTTCATTGTTTTCCCAGTCTATCCTTCCAGGAATAAAGTCACCCCATGATATTGTGTATATGTGTGTGTGTGTGTGTGTGTGTGTGTGTGTGTGTGTGTGTGTGTGTGTGTGTGTGTGTGTGTGTGTGTGTGTGTGTGTGTGTGTGTGTGTGTGTAGGAAGAAATTCATCTTGTCAAGTATTAACAGCTGTTTTGGTTGTGGTTCTAGCTTTCTTTTTAGCGGGAAGGAACGGAGTACCAAACGCTGTTTTTTTTCTTCTCTATTATAAAAACCATGATATTCTCTTCTGGGCCACGAGCTAGCTATATAGTGTGTGTGTGCAGCGCCGCTGCTCAAGATGGCCTCGTTGTAGGAGTGTTGTCACACTTGGACAAAGATGCACACATCTGCGTGCAGTGTTGACTCTGCTGTTGACAACTGCTGCTGAGTTGAGTGCTGGCAATATGCAGTCCATGAATGAGGTCACCACATGTGTGACCCCGTGCGTCCAACATCTTGCAATTCAATTTCAGTCTTTATTATGCACCTTTATTAATAATAATAATTATTATTATTATTATTATTTATTATTATTTGTTATACCTATCCCGTGGGCGGTGGTGGTGGAAAGGGTTACAGAGGTACACATAATAGGTTTAGGAACTGAACCCCAGAATTCGTTTAGCTAAGCAAGTGACAATTTTATTGTTTGTTAATGTTATATACAATTGTGAATGTTATATACACATGTACATATATATACAATCATTTACACAAATACATATACATATCAATAATCTTTTATATTGCAATGGATTCAACAAGATGCTCACTACAGTCACTATACAAGGCACTTTACATCTATGGTGAGTCACGCAGTTACTAGTCTTGTTCCACACCAACCCAACTGGGCGGCAGCTTTACAGTCATGTGCAGGCTGCACCTACAGTAAGCAAATTTTGGATACTTTGCTAAGATTCCTGGCAGCACATTGTTATGAATGAAGTACTTACACATTCATTGGACTCCATTGATGATGTTTGCTTAACAGTCTCCGTGGTAAAACACTCGCCCGGCGCTTCGTAAGCGCTTTGGCTTGGGTTCATGTCCCGGCAAGTTAGGATTTACCGAACGCCAATGCTTAACTAATTTTTTTTAAATTTTGCCTCGAGAGGCGAGTTTATTGTGCAGCGCCACTCATCCTGTGAATGGACATACCGCCATAGCAGCAAGTATAACCGCCCCCCCCCCTAAAAGGAAGAAAATTCGCTAGGATGTTCATTCTGTCACTTTTACCCAGACGAGTTCCATACTCATTGTTCCCGAGATTGCTCCGTAGAAGCAGACCTTGGCTTTCCTTCCTGTGGGATAGTCTTCAGTCCATTTCATGAGTCTTCCCTTGACACCCATGCATGCAAGCTCGTCCAGGATCGCAATCCCCCTGTGCTTTGTCGAAGACTCCTTTGATGTCAACAAATACAGAGTACTTAGCTGTGTCATTAGTCAAATAATTAACTATACAATTTGCTTTGATACGTCCTTTAACAAATCCATTGACCCCCTCCCCTTGCTTGCCTATTTTGTGCAACAGTCGGTTTAGGATGATCCTTTCAAGCATCTTGCACGTGCGTGACACGAAACTGATAGATCTGTAATTTCCAGGGCCATTAGGCTTTGGTACGGGAACGATTATTGCAAGTTTCCATTGCCCAGGCAACACTCTACTTAGGAATGATTTGTTAAACAGGCTTAGTAGTGGATTCCCAGCCACCTCACACAGTACATTGAGTATGTCGTAGGTGATGCCATCTTCAAAAGGTGCAGTACTTTTACTCTTTTTAATTCCCCCCCCCCACCCCCATTACTTCCTGGGCTGTGATTGGTTTCCCATACTCGTCATCACTAGACTGTGGTCTTGTTATCCTAATTCTTCTGTCATTATATCGCAGGAGCTGTCCCTGCTTATTTCTTATGGGATGGAAGAGGAGAATGCTGCATCACTCCACTTGCTTATTAGTTCCTCAGACATACACTTGGGGTCATTGTGAGCCCCAGGGGGCCAGATTCTCGAAGCAGTTACGCACGCACTTACGAACCTGTACATCTTTTCTGAATCTTTGCCGGCTTTGTTTAGAATTATTAAACAGTTAATGAGTTCCGAAGCACCAGGAGGTTGTTTATAACAATAACAACAGATGATTGGGAAGTTTTCATGCTTGTAAACTGTTTAATAAATGTAAGCAAAGGCATCAAAGATTGAAGAAAGATGTACAGGTTCGTAAGTACTTTCGTAACTGTTTCGTGAATCTGGCCCCAGGCCGGGTTCTGCCCCCCTTAGCTATCTGAATTTTAGCCCACACTTGTCTCGCAGATGTTTTTCTTCCAATGGAGTTAGTGAAGTCAAACCTTTGTCTTTCCCGCTCTTTAATCTTCTCTTCCTTGGCTACTTGATACAGTTTTAAACAGCTCTTGTTTTATTTTTTCAGTGGGATGTCTCCGGTACCTCTCTACTCATGTGCCTTACATTTGCATTGGGCATCTTTATGTAATCGTTCTCATACCATTTTATTTTCTTCTTCTGAGGGTTACTTCGCCAAGTTGTACGGTGAGGAACTCTGAGACAACTCTCATTTTTGGTTATTTAGGCCATCAACAAATTTATCAATGTTTTCTGGGATTTGGTATTCCGTGAACCAGTCACTCATCTTGTTTATTAAGTTCGGCCACTTATGGCAGGTTATACGATATGGCAGGTCGTATTCCGGGGCAAATTATGAATAAGAACTTGTCCGAAACGCTATGCATGCTAGTGGCTTTACAAGAAAGTAAGAATTCTTGTATATATAAATAAATAAAACAAAAGAAATAAAATATCATCTCTTATCTCTTAATTCTGCTATTTTTTTACATTCCATTATATAATAGCACGAAGTATGTGAATAGTTCTGCTGACAGAGTTTACGTTTAGTCAAACCTACATTGCAGAAACGGATTCCTTCACCTAAAAAATATTTTGAGTTAAGTTATTTGTTAAAATTTCCACCTTTTATGACTATGGTGATAATATAGATAAAACAACCAGGCAGAAAAACTGTAATTCATTCTCTCTTTATTTAAAAATAATAAAATATAAACATTTAACTCTGCTGTTGTGTTTGTTAATGTTATATACAACATTAACAATTTTGTAACTAACTTAAAAAAATTTTCATTAGCCTAGCTAAACGAACTATGGGGTTCAGTTCCCGAACCGATTATGTGGCTCTGTAACACTTTCCACCACCGCCAACGGGATGGGTATGGGGTGAATAATAATGAAATAAATCATCACTCAAAATGTGTTTGGTGAAGGAAGTGCGCACTTGATCTTCTTTCTCAGGGCAGGACAACCCGGAAGTCACTTGGTGATTACTTCCGGGTCCTTTGGAGGATGTTGGACGGTTACTTCCCGTACCCTCCGCCATGACCACCACCATAGCCGGCCCCGCCACCACCACCACCACCATAGCCACCTCCGCCATGGCCGCCACCACCGTATCCACCGCCGCCGTAGCCACCACCGCCATGGCCGCCGCCACCATATCCACCGCCACCATATCCACCGCCACCATATCCGCCGCCACCATATCCACCACCTTTAGGGCCTGCGAGGTTGAAGTTGTTGTTTGATGTTCCACCAACACCTCCGTAGCCACCACCTCCGTAGCCACCACCTCCGTAGCCACCACCTCCGTAGCCACCACCTCCGTAGCCACCACCTCCGTAGCCACCACCTCCGTGTCCACCTCCGTGTCCTCCGCCTCCGTAGCCACCACCTCCGTGTCCTCCTCCTCCTCCGTAGCCACCACCTCCGTGTCCTCCGCCTCCGTATCCACCACCACCTCCGTGTCCACCAGACTGGGCCACGGAGGCCAGAAGAGCCACGCCCAGAAAGTATAGCAGTAACTTCTGAAAAAATAGAGTGTAGATGATAATAAAAGCATCACTTAAGCAGAATATATTGTTTTGATGAAGATGACTGATGCTTTCAATCCAGTTTTTGTTACTTAATTATAAAGCGAACACTAGAGACTACAAACCTGATACAAAACACCAGAAACCAAAGTCCATATATCAGAGAATACAGTTCTCACCTATCAGTGACTATGGGGGCGAGATCTAGCTCTTAATGCCCCGCCTAGGAGCCTTGTTTTTACTGTTTAGCACAGCAATTTAACTTTTATGGCTGTCAAAATATTTTTTTGTCGAATATGGTCTTAAAGTTATGGACGGAGGTGGCTTCCTCAACTTCTTTCAGTGCAATCCACTTGTAGACCACTCCGACAATGGTACGATTATTTCCTCGTACATCCTCGACACATGTCTTTTTCCAGCTTGCACACATGACCACTTGTTCAACTTCTGCTCTTATATTGTGATCATCTAAAATCTTTTTCTCCTCTCCTCCAGGGTCGTGAGGTCTCGCTCCCTTAACTAATCCTCATAGCTAACGTCTCTTACTTCCTAGGCTAACCCTGATGCAAAGATTTACACTTTTAATTTTCGATTTTATCTTCAAAAAGAGCAGATTTCAAGCAAGTGTTTCATTACCCAGTATTGGTCTAACAAACGCTTTGTAGATGGTCACAAAAGAGACCTGATTTTGGTTTCTAAACAACGTTTGAATGTATGCAAGCGTTCCATATGCTGCCGATGTCACCCTGTTTATGTGTGCATCTATTAAAAGCATTTTGGAATTAAATACACCCGTAAATTTCTATTCCTCTCTCCGATTCCTGTAATTTTTTCCCTTTCCGTATGGTGTATGTACTTCCTGATCTTCTTTCTTGTTTTCCCATTTTCATTAGCTTATAATTGTTAAGATTGAAGTCCAGTAACCATTTGTTTGTTCAGCCTGTATTATGTAAAGGTCTTCCTGTTCTTCCAACAGTTCACTGTTTGTACATTCCTCATTAGCTTTGCGTCGTCTCCAAACACTCATATGAAGTAGCTAATTAATTGTCTAGTGTTTCTGACCTTGAGATGAAGCCAGCGGCCGACACAGCATCTCTCAGGTGCTGATGTATCCAGCGACTGGCACAGCATCTTAGGTGGTGATGGAGCCAGCGACAGACACAGCATCTTAGGTGGTGATGGAGCCAGCGACTGACACAGCATCTTAGGTGGTGATGGAGCCAGCGACTGACACAGCATCTTAGGTGGTGATGGAGCCAGCGACTGGCACAGCATCTCTTAGGTGCTGATGAAGCTAAACTAGGAAATCTATTATTGCTATTATTTTAGTAAAGGAAAATTGGATGCAATTTAAGTCTTTTGCCTTGTGTGTGTGATTTTCCGTCCTGTGTGGCAGCGAATATAAGCAGCATCCCCACTGCAGTTTGACCTAACTGAATTGCTCAGAATGATCAAAATTGTATATAAATTTGTGTTAACATAAATATAAACAATAACACCTATATTCATTTCTGTGAGAGTGTGAACGGGAGAAATGGTGAGTTTAACGAACAAAATAACACTGCTTCAGTCAGACGATGAAATACGAGTGTGCTAAACTTTCACACTAAATGTTCTTCCTCGCATCCCAGCAATAAATCTGAGGTTTCAGCTATCAGTTAAGTTCTCTTCTTCCCCCAGAACCTATTGTAATTCCTTTCTCTCTCGAATCTTCTAAGAATTTGATGTGGCAATAGTCTCCTGTCCGACTATGTGTGTGATGAAGCCTGTTGTTTATACGGGAATGTGAAGCTCACCAAACCAACCACAGGCCGTCACGGGGACGTCCAGAGAGGAACATTACCATTGTGTGGATGTGTCGGGCGGCGGCTGGCGACGGACTGTAGCGTAGAGAGTGGCTTCCTCGCCTTATATACGCTCTTCTCGCTTCACCAACACAATACAATCAATTCCAGTCAGCCAATTTGTGATGAAACTAACTTGTGAGCATTTGCACAATTTAATAAAATAATGGTACTTAGCCACCTGAAACACGGAACACTTATTTTATTTGTGATTTGTGAGGGTGTTTGTATTATTGTATTTGTGATATATATATATATATATATATATATATATATATATATATATATATATATATATATATATATATATATATATATATATATATATATATATATATATATCAATGCCAGTGGAATCAAGCCACTCTTCCTGTTAGGCTCGGTAGCTTGGGTGTCCGCACCGCTACCCAAATTGCTGTCCCAGCCTTCCTGTTTTCCTCCTCAGCATCAGATGACCTGGTTAAGGAAATTCTACCTGACACCCTGAGTGATGTAGCGGGGATACAGGACCCCCACTACACGGAATGCGACACAAAATGGGGTGTCATGGCCAAAAGCCAAGAAACAATCCAGTTGGGACAGCCCCATTGTAGACAAAGAAGCCACAGCTTTGCTGGAGGCAGCAACAACCCCCAGTGATCGTGCACGCCTCACAGCTGTGCAGGCTCCCCATGCAGGGGACTTCCTTTTGGCAGTTCCTATGTCTGCGACAGGCACACGTCTTGATCCGCAGGAGCTCCGTATTGCAGTCGCTCTCCGTCTTGCTGCCCGATCCACACTGTTCATAGGTGTATTTGCAGCGAGGCAGATGCTGACGAATATGGATTGCATGGCCTGCACTGTGGAAAATCAGGTGGTTGGCACACTAGACACGACGAAGTCAATGACATCATTAAAAGAAGCCTTGCCTCTGCTCAGTGTCCAGCGGAGAGAGAGCCCCGCAACCTACTGAACTGTGACTTCGTTAGCTTGGCCGGCCGACCAGACGGAATCACACTGCGACCGTGGAAGGGTGGCAGACAGTTGGCATGGGACTATACTTGTGTATCCACCCTGGCAACCACATACATCAACCTCTCTGCCGGCACAGCATGACCCGCGGCGACACGCAGAGAAAGAGACAAGTCAGCCAAGTACAGGCAATTAGATCATCGGTACAACTTCGTTCCAATAGGGTCTGAGACTCTAGGCCCACGGGGAGAGAGTGCAAGAAGGTTTCTTAAGGATCTTCGTTCCAAGCTCATTGACACCACAAGAGACCCTAGAGCCACAAGTTTTCTCCTTCAGCGCCTCAGTGTCGCGATCCAGAGGGGGAATGCTCGCTGCATCCTCGGTTCATGCCCGGCGTCGGAGGAGTTCGAGGAAATCTACAGCCTCTAGGAAGCGAACTTTTTTTTGTGTCCTCTTAATGTTAATTTTTTGTATAAAATCAGATATGTAACTGTATAACCTTGCATAATAACGTGTACACCATAAAAAAGGGGGGTGGTAGGAGAAGCGAACACTCTTACGTATTCAGAGTTAAATGGCAAGTTTTTCCCTGAATGCTCTGTGTTCCCTTCTCTGAGGCTGTGGGTCCCTATAATTGCACCAGAGGTGGTACCCCCCTATAAATATATATATATATATATATATATATATATATATATATATATATATATATATATATATATATATATATATATATATATATATATGTTGTACCTAATAGCCAGAACGCACTTCTCAGCCTACTATGCAAGGCCCGATTTGCCTAATAAGCCGAGTTTTCATGAAATAATGTTTTTTCGACTACCTAATCTACCTAACCTAACCTAACCTAACGTTTTCGGTTACCTAACCTAACCTAACCTATAAAGATAGGTTAGGTTAGGTTAGGTAGGGTTGGTTAGGTTCGGTCATATATCTACGTTAATTTTAACTCCATTAAAAAAAAAATTAACTCATACATAATGAAATGGGTAGCTTTATCATTTCATAAGAAAAAAAATTGAGAAAATATATTAATTCTTGAAAACTTGGCTTATTAGGCAAATCGGGCCTTGCATAGTAGGCTGAGAGGTGCGTTCTGGCTACTAGGTACGACATATATATATATATATATATATATATATATATATATATATATATATATATATATATATATTGGTGTATACTGGCAGCAGGTTTTCTTTCAAACATGTTTCATTGAATATGACCGCATATTCTGTATTTATTATTTTCTGGTTTAGGGCTTCTATCCCTCTAACTATTTTCTTAGCATCAGGGCTTAATTGGAATAGGAGTTCTCCAAAACTCATTTTCGTACTTTTAAGGTGAAGAAAAGAAGTGATTTACTATAGAGTGTATTACACTTATTTGTATAATTTGCACGACGTTTCGAACCTCCATGGTTCATTCTCAAGTGAACAGATCTTACAATACTAGTTGATTTTATACCCGCATTAGGTCAGGTGATAATACAATGAAGGTGAAAAACATGGGGGGATACATAAGGGATAAACATAGGGGCTGCAGAAGGCGTATTGGCCCATACGAGGCATCTCCTATCTAAACACAAAGATAAATCCAGTGTAATTGGCCTGTTATGTTGGCCATTGTCTTCTGTGTTGGCATCGATATGTTCTTGTCTTGTCCTTACTCTCATGGTGGGTAGAGTAAATAGTTCCGTGATTTGGGTGTTCATGGTAGGTCGCTCTATTCTTATGTGAATTGCCTCAAGAATTTGTAATCTTCTTGAATCTTGGGTTTTGTCTATTATGCAAGTATTCTTGTTCAACATTTCTCTTGTTAGAGTAATGTCATGGGCTTGTCTCATGTGATTCCTAGGGGCACCAGATTGAAGATGGCATGTCAAACGCCTCGTCAGCTTGGTCGACGTCATACCTATGTACTTACATTGAAGGTTACATCCTTCGTGGGGGCAAGTGTACATGTATACAACGCTTGACTGCTGTAGAGGGTTCTCCGTCGGCTTCGGGCTGTTTTTGATAAGGAGTTCGGAAGTCTTCTTGGTTTTGTAGAATATTATCAGGTTTATGTTTTGGTTAGGAGTAGTGCTTTTTACTCCTTTACGGATTATTTCTTTCATTATTCTTTCCTCTTTTATATGTTCACTGTGCATGGTTGATTTGTAATATAATTTTATTGGGGGTGTTGTGGTTTCTGTTCTAGGTTCTGAATTATACCAACGGTCCAAGTGTCTTCTTATAGCAGCGTTTATTTCCGCGTTGCTATATCCGTTGTTCACCAATACCTGAGTTACTCTTTCAAACTCTCTACTCACGTTGCTCCATTCAGAGCAGTGGGTAAGCGCTCGACGAATATAAGCATTGAGAACACTGGCTTTGTATCTTTGGGGGCACTCACTTCTACCGTTCAAGCATAATCCTATGTTGGTGGGCTTGGTATATACGTTGGTGCTTAAAGAGGTTCCTGTTTTTGTTATTAGTACATCCAAGAATGGCAGACTGTTATTTTCACTATTTTCATGTGTAAATCGGAGTACTGACTCTCTCTCTAGGTGTCTTTTTAGGTCAATTAGTTCATCTGAGTCTTTTACTATTACGAATATGTCATCTACATAACGGCAGTATACAGTTGGTTTTTGTCTGCTACTGAAGACCCTATCTTCGATGGTTCCCATATAAAAATTAGCAAATAAAACTCCTAAGGGGGAGCCCATTGCTACTCCGTCTATTTGTAAATACATGTCTCCTTGTGGACTGATGAAAGGGGCTTCCTTTGTACATGCTTCGAGAAGACTTTTCAAGTGTGGCTCAGGTATGTCTAATTTGGGGGTGCTCTCGTCTCTGTATACTCTGTCCAGTATCATTCCTATGGTTGTGTCGACTGGGACGTTGGTAAAAAGGGATTCAACGTCCAGGGAAGCGATGATTCCATCGGGCTGGGTAGATTTGATCAATTCTAGGAAATCTGCTGATGATTGTAGACTAAACTTACTTGGAGTGTATGGAGTTAGGAGTTCATTGAGTTTCTCAATGAACTTTTTGTCTGCTACTGAAGGGTCTTCAGTAGCAGACAAAAACCAACTGTATACTGCCGTTATGTAGATGACATATTCGTAATAGTAAAAGACTCAGATGAACTAATTGACCTAAAAAGACACCTAGAGAGAGAGTCAGTACTCCGATTTACACATGAAAATAGTGAAAATAACAGTCTGCCATTCTTGGATGTACTAATAACAAAAACAGGAACCTCTTTAAGCACCAACGTATATACCAAGCCCACCAACATAGGATTATGCTTGAACGGTAGAAGTGAGTGCCCCCAAAGATACAAAGCCAGTGTTCTCAATGCTTATATTCGTCGAGCGCTTACCCACTGCTCTGAATGGAGCAACGTGAGTAGAGAGTTTGAAAGAGTAACTCAGGTATTGGTGAACAACGGATATAGCAACGCGGAAATAAACGCTGCTATAAGAAGACACTTGGACCGTTGGTATAATTCAGAACCTAGAACAGAAACCACAACACCCCCAATAAAATTATATTACAAATCAACCATGCACAGTGAACATATAAAAGAGGAAAGAATAATGAAAGAAATAATCCGTAAAGGAGTAAAAAGCACTACTCCTAACCAAAACATAAACCTGATAATATTCTACAAAACCAAGAAGACTTCCGAACTCCTTATCAAAAACAGCCCGAAGCCGACGGAGAACCCTCTACAGCAGTCAAGCGTTGTATACATGTACACTTGCCCCCACGAAGGATGTAACCTTCAATGTAAGTACATAGGTATGACGTCGACCAAGCTGACGAGGCGTTTGACATGCCATCTTCAATCTGGTGCCCCTAGGAATCACATGAGACAAGCCCATGACATTACTCTAACAAGAGAAATGTTGAACAAGAATACTTGCATAATAGACAAAACCCAAGATTCAAGAAGATTACAAATTCTTGAGGCAATTCACATAAGAATAGAGCGACCTACCATGAACACCCAAATCACGGAACTATTTACTCTACCCACCATGAGAGTAAGGACAAGACAAGAACATATCGATGCCAACACAGAAGACAATGGCCAACATAACAGGCCAATTACACTGGATTAATCTTTGTGTTTAGATAGGAGATGCCTCGTATGGGCCAATACGCCTTCTGCAGCCCCTATGTTTATCCCTTATGTATCCCCCCATGTTTTTCACCTTCATTGTATTATCACCTGACCTAATGCGGGTATAAAATCAACTAGTATTGTAAGATCTGTTCACTTGAGAATGAACCATGGAGGTTCGAAACGTCGTGCAAATTATACAAATAAGTGTAATACACTCTATAGTAAATCACTTCTTTTCTTCACCTTAAAAGTACGAAAATGAGTTTTGGAGAACTCCTATTCCAATTAAGCCCTGATGCTAAGAAAATAGTTAGAGGGATAGAAGCCCTAAACCAGAAAATAATAAATACAGAATATGCGGTCATATTCAATGAAACATATATATATATATATATATATATATATATATATATATGTTGTACCTAGTAGCCAGAACGAACTTCTGGGCCTACTATGCAAGGCCCGATTTGCCTAATAAGCCAAGTTTTCCTGAATTAATATATTTTCTCTAATTTTTTTCTTATGAAATGATAAAGCTACCCATTTCATTATATATGAGGTCAATTTTTTTTATTGGAGTTAAAATTAACGTAGATATATGACCGAACCTAACCAACCCTACCTAACCTAACCTAATCTATCTCTATAGGTTAGGTTCGGTTAGGTAGCCGAAAAAGTTAGGTTAGGTTAGGTTAGGTAGGTTAGGTAGTCGAAAAACAATTATTTCATGAAAACTTGGCTTAATAGGCAAATTGGGCCTTGCATAGTAGGCTGAGAAGTGCGTTCTGGCTACTAGGTACGACATATATATATATATATATATATATATGCGAACAAGCCTGAATGGTCCCCAGGACATATGCAACTGAAAACTCACACCCCAGAAGTGACTCGAACCCATACTCCCAGAAGCAACGCAACTGGTATGTACAAGACGCCTTAATCCACTTGACCATCACGACCGGACATAATGAGGTGATAGCCGAGGCTATATGAACCACCCCACCGCCGGCACTCGGATAGTTATCTTGGGCATAGCATTTTACCAAATCACCTCATTCTTTGGGGCACACGTGAGGAACACAAATGCGAACAAGCCTGAATGGTCCCCAGGACATATGCAACTGAAAACTCACACCCCAGAAGTGACTCGAACCCATACTCCCAGAAGCAACGCAACTGGTATGTACAAGACGCCTTAATCCACTTGACCATCACGACCGGACATAATGAGGTGATAGCCGAGGCTATATGAACCACCCCACCGCCGGCACTCGGATAGTTATCTTGGGCATAGCATTGGGCATAGCATAGCGGTCGTGATGGTCAAGTGGATTAAGGCGTCTTGTACATACCAGTTGCGTTGCTTCTGGGAGTATGGGTTCGAGTCACTTCTGGGGTGTGAGTTTTCAGTTGCATATGTCCTGGGGACCATTCAGGCTTGTTCGCATTTGTGTTCCTCACGTGTGCCCCAAAGAATGAGGTGATTTGGTAAAATGCTATGCCCAAGATAACTATCCGAGTGCCGGCGGTGGGGTGGTTCATATAGCCTCGGCTATCACCTCATTATGTCCGGTCGTGATGGTCAAGTGGATTAAGGCGTCTTGTACATACCAGTTGCGTTGCTTCTGGGAGTATGGGTTCGAGTCACTTCTGGGGTGTGAGTTTTCAGTTGCATATGTCCTGGGGACCATTCAGGCTTGTTCGCATTTGTGTTCCTCACGTGTGCCCCAAAGAATGAGGTGATTTGGTAAAATGCTATGCCCAAGATAACTATCCGAGTGCCGGCGGTGGGGTGGTTCATATAGCCTCGGCTATCACCTCATTATGTCCGGTCGTGATGGTCAAGTGGATTAAGGCGTCTTGTACATACCAGTTGCGTTGCTTCTGGGAGTATGGGTTCGAGTCACTTCTGGGGTGTGAGTTTTCAGTTATATATATATATATATATATATATATATATATATATATATATATATATATATATATATATATATATATATATATGGGGTCTAAGCTAATCGAAACAACTAGAGACCCCAGAGCTGCCAGTTTTCTTTTTCAGCGCCTTAGTGTGGCAATCCAGAGAGGAAATGCTCACTGCATCCATGGTTCGTGCCTGCCATCTGAGGAGCTGGAGGAGCTATTCAACTTATGACAAGCAGCCTTGTACCCTGTATGTAATCAATATTGTAACTTTTTTTGTGTAATGACATTTTCAAATAAAGTTAGATAAATATACACACTTAACAAAAGAATAGGGGTGGTAGGAGAAGAAAATATCAAAGTGTTCAGTGAGGATCCAAAAGGTCTTCTCTGAGTACTCTTTATTTTCTTCTCTGAGGCTATGGGTCCCTACATTTGCACCAGAGGTGGTACCCCATATATATATATATATATATATATATATATAAATATATATATATATATATATATATATATATATATATATATATATATATATATATATATATATATATATATATATATATATATGTTGTACCTAGTAGCCAGAACGTCGTACTCGGCCTATTATGCAAGGCCCGATTTGCCTAATAAGCCAAGTTTTCCTGAATTGATATATTTTCTCTATTTTTTTTCTTATGAAATGATAAAGCTACCCATTTCAATATGTATGAGGTCAATTTTTTTTATTGGAGTTAAAATTAACGTAGATATATGACCGAACCTAACCAACCCAACCTAACCTAACCTAACCTATCTTTATAGGTTAGGTTAGGTTAGGTAGCCGAAAAAGTTAGGTTAGGTTAGGTTAGGTAGGTTAGGCAGTCGAAAAACAATTAATTCATGAAAACTTGGCTTATTAGGCAAATATATATACCCAGGTCTTTCCTAAATCTAAACTTAACTTATCCAATTTATATATATTGTTTCGAGTTCTATTTTGTGTTTATATGTTTATTACCTTATTAATCTCCCCCTTGCTATGCCCAATCATCCACTTATGTACTTCAGTAATTCCGCCCTTAACTCTTCTTCTTTATAGAGAATGCAAATCAATCTTTTTCAATCTCTCTTACTTTTGAATATATCTGATTTGTGGGATAAACTTTGTCATCTTATGCATGACGAATTCAACGCAACTTACATCTACCCTATAATATTGTGATCAAAATTGAACTGCATAATCAAAATGGGGCATACAATGATTAAGATATAGATGAAGAATCTAACCAGGTGTTTAAATGCTAAAGTTCCTAGAAAAATAACCCTGTATCCATTTTGCCTTATTTCGAACATTTATGCAAATAGTTTATTTGACTTTAAATTGCTGTTAATCATGACTCCCAGATGTTTTTCGCAGACTTTGCACTCTCAGCAGCATCCAGCTGATATTCTGTAACTATCTTCACTACCTAGCCTCGGAACCTAACATTTGTCAGGTTTAAGCAGAAACTACCAATCTTTCGACCAGTTCAAAAGTTATCTAGATAATATTGAAAGTGATTATGAGTCTTCTTCTAAGTTTATTTCACGCTCAATTTTCGTATCGTCTGCAAATTTGCAAATACTGATGCTCAGTCCTGAATCGAAAGTTTTTATCTTTATGGTAAACTACAGTAGTCCCAGGGGGTATTCCACCTACAACGGTCTGTCACACTGACTTAACTCCATATATTTGGTTTCCTTTGCTATAACCATGCCCTTATCCAACTTTATATCAGCATTTCAGAAATCTGTCGCCTTAACAGAATTTTCTCATACACATCAATTTCATTCTATGCCAAATCTGATTCCCGTATGATCACTCACTCTTCGCTAGCTCACTCGCTATTTCAAAGTAATTTATTTGTGTGTCCGTATTAATTTACACAAAACTCTGAAGCTGAAATAGATTGAAAACCACATGAGTTAATGCATATTACTGTATTTATAAAGAAATTAATGGTTACAATGCAATAGATTGCACATAATACATAGAAACAAAAAAATTTATTGATATATATACAAGAGGTATGAGAAAATACACAAATTAACAAAGGGGTGATTTTGAAATATCGTCCTCTCATCATCTCGCGAGACAAGGGAAAACATATTGTGCTCCTATGTATTTACAGTAATACAATCCTGCATAGCAATTACGTCACAGAGGGAACCGAGAAGAAAGACCTGGTCATCACCGGAGCGAGACGAGCAGTATATAAGCCAAATTCACCGCTGATTTATAATGAGACTCTCGCAGCCATCCCAAGACACACAATGGTAGGAGTAATGACTCGCTCACTCTCATTCACCTTTCGGCGCTTCTGTGGATTTGGGCTCAGTTTAAAAATATATTTATTATATATATGCATTTTATTCTGATCAACAAATATGTAATGTGATATAGTTTTAATAACATTTGTTATTTAATTGACAGAAAGTTCTTGTTGCTGTGGTGAGCGTCGCCCTCTTGGCTTCCGTAAGCCAGGCTGGTGGACACGGAGGTGGTGGTGGATATGGCGGTGGTGGTGGACACGGAGGTGGTGGATACGGCGGAGGTGGATACGGCGGAGGTGGTGGATACGGCGGAGGTGGTGAACACGGAGGTGGTGGATACGGCGGAGGTGGTGGACACAGAGGTGGTGGATATGGCGGAGGTGGTGGACATGGAGGTGGTGGTGGTGGATACGGCGGAGGTGGTGGATACGGAGGAGGCTACGGAGGTGTTGGAGGATCATCGAATAACAACTTCAACCTAGCTGGGCCTAAAGGTGGTGGACACGGAGGTGGTGGCTATGGCGGTGGCGGACACGGAGGTGGTGGCTATGGCGGTGGCGGACATGGCGGTGGTGGCTATGGTGGTGGTGGACATGGTGGTGGTGGTGGCTATGGTGGACATGGCGGAGCGTACGGCAAATAATATATGAGTGACAAATAATGTCCATGAAAATTAGACGGAATTGATGAATTGCGATATACGCCTCTCAGACCCTGAACATGCTGTAGAATGAAGGAATGTGCTTATCTGTTTGTTTACATTTTAATAATACAATGGATAAAAATAGTAGTTTCATTGTAAAATTTAATTACTTGAGTACATTAAATACTTATGTTCCTAGACATATATAAATACTAAATATCAATTACGGAGAGGACAAAGAATTTATATTTTTTTAAGTAAAAGTTGAAATGCTTATATCTCACGCTAAATACTTATAATCGACTACTATGAGTCGATTATAAGTGCCTAACAACCAGAACTGCAGTACTTGGCCTAGTGTGGAAGATCAAATTTGTCTAAGGGTCGAATGATTTTCGTTACTTTCAAATATTTCTTTCCAGATTAGTTCTTTTCTAAGAACAATATTAACAAGAGTAATAAGGTTACAGGTGAAGTTCAATTCTGTTTACTGTCTGTATTGATCCATTGTTGAAAGAGTTTATTTAGAGCCAGTAGAGCTGGCTATCGCAAATACAGTACTAAGGCCAATGTTTTCTCTTATACTGATGATCTATTTCAACTCCCACTCACCAAAGAGGCTTTGAGAAATTTCATGGATATATGTGAAGTTCTGAATACAACCTAATGTTCAATCCTGCTAAAATGTAATGTGGTTTCTTTTTAACTCACAGGACTCGTTTTTTCGAGAAACTGGTTTATAATTACTCGGCAGAGATATTTCAGTCAAATATTCTGAAAAGCATCTGGGTCATGATATAACTTCAAGGGGGTCAACTTGTCAATTTGTCTGATGCTTTAGAGACCTGAAGGTCAGAACAAATGTCATCATGAGTGAATTTCATCCTCTTGATACCAGGTCGGAAGTAAAGTTACTTAACAGTGAAAGTCTAAGCTTGTACGGATGTGAATTTTGAGACCAGCAAAATGGAAGAAACGTACTAGAATCTAGACGTATTATGAGTGTCCATCCTCACATTCATTATAATCTATCTGGCCTCATGTTTACACTCACACTTGAGTAAATAATCCACAAACAATTATATAATTTTGCCTGAAAGAAATCACCCATCCAGAAAACTTAACTCTTGTTTTTTTTCTTTTTAATCACTCACTTATCACTGCCCACAATAGCTTTTCCAGAAATATAAACTTATATGTTAAGAAATACAACTTAAGAATGAGTTATATTTTTAATAGGACAGCGGGTCTACAGGCTGGGATGACACAAGGGCTCAGGCGGGATAGCAGGAAGACCTTCAGCTGAATATATGGAGTAATTAAGGAAATAATGTAACCAAGATGGACTATTGCCAGGCATTTTGAATCCAACAGATGTCATATCGCTGTTATATGAGCTGTGTGCGTGAGTGTGTGTGTAATTACTTAAGTGTAATTACAGGATGAGAGCTACGCTCGTGGTGTCCCGTCTTCCCAGTACTCTTTGTCGTGTAACGCTTTGAAACTATGAACGGTTTTGGTCATTACTACTTTCTCACTTAGCTTGTTCCAGTTGTCTACCACTCTGTTTGTAAAAGAAAACTTTCTAATATTGTTTTCGGCACCTTTGTTTCCTTAGCTTGAATCTGTGTCCTTTTGTTCGTAAAGTTACTGGTTTCAAGATGTTCTCTTTGTCTATTTGGTTGATTCCTGTTAGTATTTTCAAAGTGGTAATCATATCTCCTCTTTTTCTTCTTTCTTCTAGTTTTGGCATGTTTAACGCCTTCAGTCTTTCCTCGTAACTCTTGTTTTTCAGTTCTGGAAACCATTTTGAAGAATGTCATTGCACCTTTTATTTATGTGCTTCTTGAGATTTGGGCACCATACAATTGCTGTATATTCCCATTTTGGTCTCACAAAAGTCATAAACAGTTTCTTTAGCATTTCACCGCCTATATAATTGAAATCAAGTCTGAAGTTGGAAAGCGACACATACGCTCCTCTCACAATGTTTTTTATATATTCCTCTGGCGACAGATAATTATCCAAAACCACCCATAGGTCTTTCTTTATTAAAGTTCTGTAATTCCTTTCCACATAATTTGTATGTTGTGTGTGGTCTGTTTTTTCCGATTTCACATTACTTAACATAGTATTTATTCACATTCAATTTCATTTGCCACTTGTCGCTCTAAGCACTTATTTTATCTAGATCAATTTGTAAGTCATTACAATCGTCTGCGTCTCCTATCTTCTCTATTATCTTAGCTTCATCCGCAAATATATTCGTATAATTCTGCATTCCTTCTGATAGATCGTTAATTTTGACGATAAACATTACTGATGCAAGAACTGACCCCTTTGGTACTCCTCTAGTGACACTCCTCCAATCAGATACATTGTATCTGATATACATTGTATCTGATATACTGCCCTCATCAGTCTGTCAATTAGAAAATATTTCATCCATGTCAGAAATCTCCCTGTCACCCCTCCAGAATGTTCCTGTTTCCAGAACAGCCTCTTGTGTAGGACTCTATCAAAAGCCTTTTTTAGGTCCAGATAGACAGTCAACCCAACCATCTCTTTCCTGTAGTATCTCTGTGGCTCTGTCATTAATACTAAGTAGATTTGCTACACAGAATCCTCCTGTTCGAAAACCTTATTGAATGTCCATTATTATGTCATTACTCTCTATGTGTTCAACCCATTTGGCTTTAACTATTGTTTCTAGTATTTTGACTACCACACTTGATAATGATATGGGTCTATAATTTACATGTTCCTCTCGACTACTCTTTTAATAGATTGGTACTATGTTTGACCTCTCCATATATCTGTTAAGATTCTTGTCCCCAAGGATGTCTGGAATATTAATTGAAGTGGAATGCTCAGCTCAGTTGCACATTCTCGCAGCACCCAAGGTGAAAATCCATCATGTCCATCCGCTTTATTTTTTCCGAGTCCCATGAAAAACTTTTTCACTTCGTCTTGAGATACCTCTATGTTTTCTTTGACGTGCTCTTGAATTGGTATTTGGTCCGGCTCTCTGAAATCCTTATTTTGCACAAACACATTTTGGAATTGTTCATTTAGCATTTCACAAAATTCTTTTTCATTCTCAGTAGTTCTGTTCCCTGTTCTCAATCTCTGGATTTTACCCTTTACATGCAGCTTGCTTTCAATGAATTTATAGAAGAAGCCTAGATCTGTTTGATCCATGTGATTCTAGATCCATTTGCCCGTTATACCTTTCTCAAAGTTCCTTTCTGCCTCTCTCCTCACCCTTGTGTGATTGTTTCTTGCTTGCTTAGCTTGCTGGTATGTTTGATGGTTGGGCCTCTTCCGATATTGAACCCATTTTCTTGTCTTATCCTCTCTGGACCTCTCACAACTTCTGTTAAACAACTCCTGTTTCTTGGTAATGTATCTCTATTTTGGTATGAATGTTTGTGTTCCTTCGTCATATATTTCGCAAAAATTGGCATTTACTTCCTTGCCTAGCAACAAATATGTCCAATTAAACTCATTAAAAACTTGTTTGAGTTCCCCATAGTTTCCTATCTTGAGATCGACTTTATCAACTATTTCCATGACCACATTCTCTTCTACATTATATCGTAAAGCATATATAATTTCCAGCAGGACATTATCACTCTTTCCAAAAGGAAGGAAGGAACTGGATGATTAATACCTCATTTTCTTCTTTCCTGGTGAATATTAGATTCAGTACTGACGGAACATCCCCTTCCCTCATTCTTGTTGCCTGCTTGACGCGTTCATATATGAATGTCTCCAGAATTAGGTGTACTCACCTATTTGTACTCACCTATTTGTGCTTGCGGGGGTTGAGCTTTGTCTCTTTGGTCCCGCCTTTCAACTGTCAATCAACTGGTGTACAAATTCCCCAGCCTATTGGGCTCTATCATATCTACATTTGAAACTGTGTATGGAGTCAGGCTCCACCACATCACTTCCTAGTGCATTCCACTTACTAACTACTCTGACATTGAAAAAGTTCTTTCTAACGTCCCTGTGGCTCATTTGGGTACTCAGTTTCCACCTGTCTACCCTTGTTCACGCACCACAAGTGTTGAATAGTTTATCCTTGTCTACCCGGTCGATTCCCCTGAGGATTTTATAGGTTGTGATCATGTCTCCTCTTACTCTTCTGTCTTCCAGTGTCGTAAGGTGCATTTCCCGCAGCCTTTCCTCGTAACTCATGCCTCTTAGTTCTCGGACTAGTCTAGTGGCATACCTTTGAACTTTTTCCAGCTTCATCTTGTGCTTGACAAGGTACGGGCTCCATGCTGTGGCCGCATACTCCAGGATTGGTCTTGCAAATGAGGTATACAAGATTCTGAATGATTCCTTACACATGTTCCTGAAGGCTGTTCTGATGTTAGCCAGCCTCGCATATGCCGCAGACGTTATTTTTTTTATGTGGGCTTCGGGAGACAGGTTTGGTGTGATATCAACTCCTAGATCTTTCTCTCTGTCCGTTTCATTAAGTACATCATCTCCTATTCTGTATCCTGTTTCTGGTCTTCTGTTTCCACCGCCTAGTTTCATTACTTTGCATTTACTCGGGTTGAACTTCAACAGTCATTTGTTGGACATTCACTCAGTCTGTCCAGGTCATCTTGTAGCCTCCTACTATCGTCCTCTTTCAATCCTCTTCATAATTTTTGCATCATCAGCAAACATTGAGAGAAACGAGTCTATACCCTCTGGGAGATCATTTACATAAATTAGAAACAGTATAGGTCCAAGGACTGACCCCTGCGGGACTCCATTTGTAACGTCTCGCCAATCCGAGACCTCACCCCTTACATTGACTCGTCTCCTGTTGCTTAGGTACTCCTTTATCCAATGGAGTACCTTCCCTTTCACTCCAACCCGCATCTCCAGCTTTTTCACTAGCCTCTTGTGTGGCACTGTATCAAAGGCTTTCTGGCAATCCAAAAATATGTAGTCTGCCCACCCTTCTCTTTCTTGCCTGATTTTTGTTGCATGGTCGTAGAATTCAAGTAACCCTGTGAGGCAGGACTTGCCATCCCTGAACACATGTTGATGCTGTGTTACAAAGTTCTTTCGCTCCAGATGTTCCACTAGCTTTCTTCGCACAATTTTCTTTATCAGCTTGCATGGTATGCAGGTTAGGGATACTGGCCTGTAGTTCAGTGCCCCAAGTTTATCCCCTTTCTTGTATATCGGAACTATGTTAGCAGCTTTCCAAATTTCTGGCAAATCCCCTGTTGCCAGTGATTTGTTATACACTGTGGAGAGTGGCAGGCACAGTTCTTCTGCTCCTTCCTTTAGTATCCAAGGGGAGAAACCATCTGGCCCTATAGCTTATGTCACATCCAACTCTAGTAAACACTTCCTTACTTCCCCGCTGGTAATCTCAAACTCTTCCAGTGGATCCTGGTTAACTATTCTCTCTTTTATCTCTGGAATTTCTCCTTGTTCTAAGGGGAAAACCTCCTTTAATTTCTTATTCAGTTCCTCACACACTTCCTTGTCGTTTGTAGTGAATCCTTCTGCTCCATCCTTAATTTCATAACCTGTTCCTTTACTGTGGTTTTTCTCCAGATGTGACTGTACAGCAATTTAGGCTGAGTCTTTGCCTTGCTTGCTTGCGCGCGCGTGTGTGTGTGTGTGTGTGTGTGTGTGTGTGTGTGTGTGTACTCACCTAATTGTGCTTGCGGGGGTTGAGCTCTGGCTCTTTGGTCCCGCCTCTCAACCGTCAATCAACTGGTGTACAGATTCCTGAGCCTATTGGGCTCTATCATATCTACATTTGAAACTGTGAATGGAGTCAGCCTCCACCACATCACTTCCTAATGCATTCCATTTGCTAACTACTCTGACACTGAAAAAGTTCTTTCTAACGTCTCTGTGGCTCATTTGGGTACTCAGCTTCCACCTGTGTCCCCTTGTTCGCGTCCCACCAGTGTTGAAAAGTTCGTCCTTGTTTACCCGGTCGATTCCCCTGAGGATTTTGTAGGTTGTGATCATGTCCCCCCTTACTCTTCTGTCTTCCAGTGTCGTGAGGTGCATTTCCCGCAGCCTTTCCTCATAACTCATGCCTCTTAGTTCTGGGACTAGTCTAGTAGCATACCTTTGGACTTTTTCCAGCTTCGTCTTGTGCTTGACAAGGTACGGGCTCCATGCTGGGGCCGCATACTCCAGGATTGGTCTTACATATGTGGTGTACAAGATTCTGAATGATTCCTTACACAGGTTCCTGAACGCCGTTCTGATGTTAGCCAGCCTCGCATATGCCGCAGACGTTATTCTCTTTATGTGGGCTTCAGGAGACAGGTTTGGTGTGATATCAACTCCTAGATCTTTCTCTCTGTCTGTTTCATTAAGTACTTCATCTCCTATTCTGTATCCTGTGCCTGGCCTCCTGTTTCCACTTCCTAGTTTCATTACTTTGCATTTACTCGGGTTGAACTTCAACAGCCATTTGTTGGACCATTCACTCAGTCTATCCAGGTCATCTTGTAGCCTCCTACTATCATCCTCTGTTTCAATCCTCCTCATAATTTTTGCATCGTCGGCAAACATTGAGAGGAACGAATCTATACCCTCTGGGAGATCATTTACATATACCAGAAACAGTATAGGTCCAAGGACTGACCCCTGCGGGACTCCACTTGTGACGTCTCGCCAATCTGAGACCTCACCCCTCACACAGACTCGTTGTCTCCTGTTGCTTAGGTATTCCTCTATCCACCGGAGTACCTTCCCTCTCACTCCAGCCTGCATCTCCAACTTTCGCACTAGCCTCTTGTGTGGCACTGTATCAAAGGCTTTCTGACAATCCAAAAATATGCAGTCTGCCCACCCTTCTCTTTCTTGCCTTATTTTTGTTGCCTGGTCGTAGAATTCAAGTAACCCTGTGAGGCAGGACCTGCCATCCCTGAACCCATGTTGATGCTGTGTTACAAAGTTCCTTCGCTCCAGATGCTCCACTAGTTTTTTTCGCACAATCTTCTCCATCAGCTTGCATGGTATGCAGGTTAGGGACACTGGCCTGTAGTTCAGTGCCTCCTGTCTATCATTCAGTGCCTCCTGTGTGTGTGTGTGTGTGTGTGTGTGTGTGTCTACTCACATATTTGTGCTCTGTGTATAGAGTCAGCCTCCACCACATCACTGCCTAATGCATTCCACCTATTAACTACTCTAACACTGAAAAAGTTCTTTCTAACGTCCCTGTGGCTCATTTGGGTACTCAGTTTCCGCCTATATTCCCTTGTTTGCGTACCGCCCGTGTTAAACAGTTGATCTTTATCAACCCTGTCAATTCCTCTGAGAATTTTGTAGGTATTGATCATGTCTCCCCTTACTCTTCTGTCTTCTAGTGTCGTGAGGTGCATTTCTCACAGCCTTTCTTCGTAACTCATGCCTCTTAGTTCTGGAACTAGCCTAATGGCATATCTCTGAACTTTGTCTAGCTTCGCCTTGTGTTTGGCAAGGTACGGGCTCCATGCTGGGGACGCATACTCCAGGATAGGTCTTACATATGTGGTATACAAGGTTCTGAAGGATTCCTTACACAGGTTCCTGAAGGCAGTTCTGATGTTAGCCAGCCTCGAATATGGCGCAGATGTTATTCTTTTGATGTGGGCTTCAGGATCAGGACTGGTGTGATATCAATTCCTAGATCCTTCTCTCTGTCCTTTTCATGAAGGACTTCATCTCTCATTCTGTATCCTGTGTCTGGCCTCCTGTTTCCACTGCCTAGTTTCATTACCTTACATTTACTCGGGTTGAACTTTAGTAGCCATTTGTTGGACCATTCATGCAGTCTGATGTGTAGGCATAGACAGTTTCTTGTTACCACGTACATCAGCTTAGCCCCCTCCATGTGTCCAGTTCTCCCTGTGGGTCTCTGTTCTCTCAGTCTATCTTCCCCTGGTTGAAGTCTCCCATGATTAGCAGTCTGGCTCTGTCCCTGCTAGCGACAGAAGCTACTCTCTCTATTATATTAATGGTAGCCATGTTGTTTCTATCTTATTCCTGTCTGGGTCTTCTGTCATGTGGTGGGGGGTTACATATGACTACTACTATATGCTTTTGTCCCCGAATCGGTATAGTATCTGTTATGTAGTCACTGAAACATTCACCGCCCTGGATAACTACCTCTTCAAATCTCCAGTCTCTTCTTATAAGCAGAGGTACTCTACGTTTTCCTCTTCCTTCCCTCTCTTTCCTAATTGCATAATATTCCAGCTGAAACACAGCATTTGTTACGGTTTTCGTTTCGTTAGCTTTGTTTCTGTGAGTGCTATTATGTCTGGGTTTTCGTCTCGTGTCCATTCTCCAAGTTTACTGGATTTATTTGTAATCCCATCTATGTTTGTGTACATTTCCTTGAAGCTCACTTTCTCCAGCCCATTCTTGTTTCCTCTTCTTTGTGGTCTTCAAGCCACAACAGCACCAGGAACGCCAACAGGAACAGGACATCCAACCGAAGACGGCACAACCTCCGGAGCATAAATAGCACCAGGATGAGGCGCACCAGCTAACACTGGAGGCGACACAGCAGCCAAAAGTTCTCCCACAACCGCATCCACTGGGTCCGCCTCCACAGCCAGTGGCGGGAAATCTTCCTCACCAAAAAGATTCATCGGAGCGATGACATCCACTGAGCAGCCAGCAGCCATGTGGCCCAACAAACCGCATCGAAAACAGGTGCGAGGTTGATGTGAGTAGTAAATGCAGACATAATATCCCATGAGCCGCACCGAGGATGGGATGTCCGACCGTAACCGCATCCCCAGAGTGCGGATACTAGTCCGAACACCCTTAAGTTTCCCGGAGGAAACCATATTAATCCTCACACACACGACAGTGTCAAACTGCCCAAAATATCTCCTCAGCAGCTCTTCAGGGAACTCCAGGGATGCACCATGAATGCTGACAAAAGTGAGAGCACAACTCCGGTCGGAAACAGTCACCGTACCAGCAGCCTCCAGCAGGGGCAAGGTCCGCCCCTCGAAGCGTCTTTAAAATACCCGTCCTCTTCACCCAGTAGTCGTCCTCTTCTGCAAACTTCACAATAGCCTGATACGAAGACACCAATTCCATACCATAGATCGCAGCTGCGGAGACACGCAGCATGTCACACAAAACTAATTCCACGGCAGGATAATCAGTCCATCCAGTAAATTCCAGACCCACCGAATGAGCCAGCAAAATGGGGGGGAAGGGGCCCTCCCCTCCCCATCACTCAAGCCACGTCAGCAACGACGAGTGTCCATCCATCACGCACGCCTGGCAACCACTGAAGCACAGGCGGGCACCTAGCTCCCAACGGCGAGGTGTTCAGGTGTTCAGGTGTTCAGGTGTTCAGCGAGGCTGAAACTCCAGGTACGTGAAGTAACAGGTGGTTGGTGGTTCTCGCTAACAGTGTGATTACCCTTGTAATAGGTCCACCGTTCTTCCCCTTTCACTCGTTATAACTGCAAAATTCATTCATGAAATCACAAGTTGCCTTTAAATTTCCCTTTTAAATAAATATTCCACCTGTAACATTCGGATGACGAGACCCGGAGCTTGATCAGCTTCCTGAGCTTCTGCTTGGCACACCGATGTATACACACAGAGACGTATACCCCTCCATTTCTCTGTGTACATTCACTGAGAGTATACTTTAGTTCTTAACTATGTTCAGGACAAAAATATACTTTGTGTTAAGATCATGTCGTGACTTTATTAACCCTCCAGAGGTTGGGAAGCCTTAATACCAACCGTAAATCAAGTTATTTTCGTGGATTCAACAGGCGCTTGACAGTCAGTCCACAAAACCTTGTTCAGCACCAAGGTCCCATCTGAAGACCCCATTACTGAACTATTATTAAGCAGGAGTACAAAAGACTAGCAAATGTATTTTCATTTATTTTAAGGTAATATCAAACAAGATAGAGTCTGTCCATTCCCTAGTCATGTCAGAGTTTATAATTATTTGGTTGGAACATGTTTTTAGATAATTCTTATGACATCATTGTGAAGGTTCACTTTGGGCATTCCTCGTTTAGTAGTGAACTCATACTAATAAACCCGTCATCTTACATAGAACGTCGCTTTTCGCTCGTATGTGCACTAAGGCTAAGAATTGCCATACTAGAAAATGGAAGCGGGCTCACGAAAATGACGTACCGTCCCGTTTTCTGTTTTGGATCCTCTGGCTTAGTCTGTTAGGTTAGGAGAGGACACTTTAAAGTAACAGTTTTCATGACATTTTGAAACCGTAGGAGAACTTGCTGACCTCCTAACTTACCAGAGGACCGAAAACGTACTGCTTTGGGTCCATTTCATTTGTAAAATTAATTTCCATTTTCTAGTACGGCAATTTTTGGCCATAGCGCATACGAGCGAAAAGCGACGTTATTTGTAAGAGGACAGACTGCACTAATATCACCAAAATTATTCGTCTTCCTAACCATTTCCTTTGAAATTTTGTTGCAGAATTATGTGAATTTCCAATATTTAAAGGATAAATTATAATTTATTGTTATGTACTTACAATTGTTGCATTAATAGTACAAATATTCATAAGATTTTGGCGATAAACCAGATCACTTCGTTTACACAATGAAACACCGGTTTTGAATACAACAGCGATTATGTAGCAAAAATTACCAAAAAATAAATGGATAATATCAGGCATTATTTGGCGATGGATACATCCCTCTCACACGCAGAGAGCATTGTTGAGGATAGTCTCAATTTCGGCGGAATTCTCGTTAAACAGGTTGGCGACCAGCTCCAGAACGACTGGACCGTTGGCCTCAATTTCGTCATTGATGCCACCGGCTCCCTCCAGTGCAGACTGCAACAACAGATAAGGTAATGAGTGAGAACCAGCATCATTAAGGACTGTAATACTCTATTATTGATGCCCCAACACCCGTGTGGACTCATTTTAATCAACGATGCCAGTATGGACTCAGCTCCTCAATAACTATATGGAGTTGGCTCCACCAGTGATTCCCCAACAACCTTGTTTACTCTGCTCTGGGGATTCATCTTTTCTTCTAGCGACCGTTCCAACTCATGATCACATCTACACAACAAGACACTAGCCAAGTGGTGAATATCGTGGACATAAGAAGCTGCTTCTCCGGCTATTTTAAAATGGGTTTACTTTAACACATCTGGTACAGAAGAAAAGGTTTCGTTTGTTTTAATATCATAACTGCTTCTCATTTCCATCACCTTCACCTCACAATCCCTCTTTCCCGACAAGGAAGTTCTAGTTCTACTTACGTCGATGGAAGCCACGCTTAATTCGATTGACAGGGAGCCTTCCTGGACGCATAATGAAAAGGGGAGCAAAGTATAGCTGTCAGCCTTCAAGTGGATGATGATGTCAAGCCCGTTGAACCTCAAACTGTTGGCAATACACAGGTTAGAAAGTCAAGCTGTTGGCATAACAAAGGTTAAGAGGCAATTAAAGATTTACTTTTCACATGTCTTAACATACAAAATTAAAGGAAACTATTATAATCCAGAAACGTTGCAGAAAATCTTGCAAAAATATGATAATTAACAGCTGAGGAGGTAAATAAGTATATGAAATAGTAAATTGGTACAAATGGTTAATGGCAAATTTCTATCAACTGTGAAGGGACATCGAGGCCAACCAGCGAGTCAAACTTACTCTGATACGCCAGAGGCAGCGATGTCTGCTCCCTGGAAGGTGCCGGCGATGGAGTAGTCGTCCGAGTGAGCGTCGATTGTGACCGTCGTCTCAATCTTCACCTACAATAAGGCGTCACTTTAACCACTTGGAGGGATAGACTTCTGACTATTGGGTTATAGGAGGAATGATCGACAAAGCCGAGAATGGTGAATGATTTTGACGGGAGACATCTCCCGTCACGCAGGGTGCAGTCGCACCTCCACAGATCTCCAGTATCATCTATTGATACTGGTAATGGCTCAAAAGGGGCACCACTTACGGGCTATTCATGCCCGTGCATGAATTTTGGGTGGCTTAATCTTCATCAGTCAATCGAATGATTTTAAGGAAGAAGTGTTAAATGTGTCATACTTTTGGGAGGCAAAATTATTAGAAGGTAAGAACCAATAAGTGTGAAATGTGAGTTTTTGATGGATAGTGAGCACAATATGACGACGATGAGTTTCTGTGACGCAGTTCTTGGTGATTGTAACCTATCGAGGCGCAGTTGCTGGAAAGGAAGCGAACTATCAGGAGAGAGTGCTAAGCCACTGCGACTATATAACACTGGGAAGGTATCATGATTAGGACTTGGGATGGAACGGGAAGAGGGGGGGAGGGGGATGAATGGTGCCCAACCACTTGGACGGTCTGGAATTGAACTAATCATGTTAGTAAGCTCTAGTTACAAATTGCAAATCTGTTATTGCAGCATGCGATTTGCATGTCAGTAAACAAATTATGAAACTGTATGGAATAGAACCGATCAGTTAATCTCCACTGACCATTGGGAGGTCAGACATGACAATAAGAAGTGATAACAGGACAAAGTGAATGAACACTGCTCGGTTGCATGGTGACCACCGGCCAGGTCGGACGTTCCTGAGGTCTCTCCGCTCCTGGCTAGTGTTTACGTTGCTGGTTTGCCCTGCTGGTGGTGGTTTGCCACTCCCAGGGTGACGTTTGACTTAGCCATGGGGACTTCTCACCCCCCTGTGAAGAGGACATTGTCGGCTGGTCTGGCATTTATGGTGCCGGTGGACCATTCGTTGGTTGGTGTTGCCCTGGTGGACGTGCTACTTGTGCAGCTGTCGGACCTGGTGGGCATCCAGCTGCTTCAGGGCAACCGTGCTGTGGTCCAGTTCCACCTCCAGGCTGCCTTTCAGGCGTTTCTCGAGCGGTGTGAGGGGCGTGTTTACCCTCTCCCAGATACTGCTGGTTCTGTTAAGGTGGTGAATCTTAGTGTCACCTTGACGTCTGTGATGGTGCCCCCCTTCGAATTTCAGGACGACTTCTTGACCTCCTGTTTTGAACGATTTGGGACAGTGTTAAGTGTTCGTTGGAACAAGGTCGTTGCCGGGCACTGTGTTGGTATGCTTGACGGCTCCCGCACCCTGACGATGTCGCTGAAGTGTTGTGTACTGTCATCGATGTCCGTGTTGAGTTACACACTCCACTGTAAGTATCGGGGTCAACTGCGCACTTGTTATCGGTTTGGTCACGAGGGTCATCTGGCTGCAGCTTGCGACGTGGGAGTGACTGGTAGGGTGCATGTTTTTCGTGCGGAGGATTTTCCGCCCCCCTGTTGCGTTCGGATGGTTCTGAGGACGGAGTGGGTGCTGTGCCTGAAGCGCCTGATTGCCTGTCTGCTGCTCCACCTGTTGAGGCGAGTTCTACGGCTTGTCCGACACGTCTGGTGACTGCTGTGGCCCCTGGGGTTGTTGAGCCGGTGTGTGTGGGTGTCGGGCCGTCGCCTGCGCTGCATGTAGTGTGGGATGTCCCGGTGGAGGTTCATGTCCCCCCCCGCCTGTGGATGTAGTACTGGCTCCCGGGGAAGTGGGTTCTGCTGTTTTGGAGGGGTGCTTCGGCAGGGGAAGGTGCCTGCCGTGCCTGTGTGTGTTGGCGACTGTAGTCCTGCTCTTTCCGTCCCTTTGCAGAAGCATGCGCGTCGGTGTTCTGAGGCTGTTTCCCTGGATGATGTGGACAGTGCGGGCGATGTGGCCTCTGTGGACTCTTCGGATGATGCGGGTGTGGTCTGTGTGGATGTGAAGATGGTGGTTGTGCCTGCGGAGGGGCCTGCTGGGCGTGGTGTGGTGCGGCCTGTCTCGAAGCGTTCGTGGCGGGCTCGGAGTGTCTTTCCCCTTCGTGGTATGCCTTGGGAGGAGGTGGGGGAGTATGGTGCTCAGCTGGCGTCCCTCGCCATGGATGATGGTGCTGTGTGGGGCTCCGAAGTTGCTGCCTGTGCCCCCCGCCCTCCTGCGTCTCGTGCTGTTAGGTTCCCGCAGTGGGGGGTTGCCCCTGATGATCGGGACCTTGTCGTGGTGTTGCGGAAAGATGTGCGCCGGGGGCCTCGGCTCCTGTGCCCTGTGATGAGGTCGATGCTGCGCCTGCATCCCCTGCGGTTCCCCCTCCTTCGTTGCCCCGGTCTGGGGGAAGCCTAGTTCCGACTGCTGGGGTCGTGCCTTATGAGGGTCCTGTGTTGGGCCCTTATCGGGATGCCCGGGTGCTTCCGATCCCGTGGTGCTCATCCACTGTCTGGGTGTCGGGAGTGAGGGAGTTTGTTTATAGGGTGCTGGATAAGATGTCGCAGCCGAGGGCACCGCCTGGTGGCCGGGTGTCCCCTGACACGTGGGTGATTTGGGATGCGTACTGTTTGTGCTTTCCGTTATGCAAGTTTCTGGAGAAATATTAGTTGGCGTCTTGCGCACACCGCTCCGCCGTGCGTGGATCAACTGCCGCCGTGAACTCGACATCCCGCCCTACGGTGCGGCGAGTCTCCCTCTTACGTCCGCCTCTGTTTTCGTCGCCACTTCTATCTCTACAGCCCGACACATCTAACATTTTTTACTTTCTTCTCCTTCTCAACGTCAACGCGTCTCCCTACATCTGTCCTGGTGCAGTCATTAGGAGGGTAAACCCTTCATGCAAACTGCACCTATTCTCAAGAAGAAGAACACAGCCCAAGCATTTTGACCATCAAGAGCGAGGCTGTCGTTCTACCAACCAATCCAGGTAGTTGTACAGGAATTATGTATAATCATATCTTAAATATAAACAAAACATAAAGTAATAATGGTTATTGAGCTGCAGTACGTACCGCTTTAGAGATGAGTGGGATGGGCGGGGAGAAGTTGTTGACCACAATCTCAGACAAGCCAGTGACGGCAGTGTTGACAGCATTGTAGAGAACGCTGCGGAAAAACGAGACAAAATTAAACTGTTAATGAGTACATATTTATTTGAGTGTTGGCACTATAATTCGAGAAGAGTTAAAGTTGAATATCTAGTTTATTTAAAGCGGACTTGGATTACTGAAGTGCTCTTGTAACCTTACGTAATATTTTCAGGTTCTTACGTAATATTTTCAGTTTCTTACGTAATATTTTTAGGTTTTGAGTTAATAGACTGTAGACAGCAATCACCTGGTTTTCTGAGGGGAAGGGGTGGGTGTGTTGTTATAATTGTAGCCATTGTAGACAAAAGCGTCAAATTTTGTGATAATAGATCAATAGTGTATAGTGGGGTATTTCCTTGCACTTCCATCGACCTATTAGATCGTATTGGATCAACTGTAAAAGAATTGTTCAACCATTTAGGCATCAGCACATTTATCAGGAGCAGCCTGCCTTGACCCGACGCTGGTGGACAGGTCTCCTGAGGTGAGTTTAATATATTCTTGATTACCTCTGAGTCAATTGGACTGGTTGGTAGGCAGACTGCAACTCTCGCATTTTTAAGGGTCGTCGTTCGCTTTTTACTTACAGCTCCTTGTCCTCAAATTCCAGCTCTTTGTCCTCACTTCCTAATTGCTTGTCATCACATTTGTTCTAAGTGCTGTATGATCATATATTTCTTCCCATAATTATTGGGGAGAATTATTATATAATAAATAATAATAATAATAATAATAATAATAATAATAATAATAATAATAATAAATAATTTAAAATTGAATAGTTAAAATATTAAATAATTTAAATGATATTCAATTATTAATTATTAAATATTTTAAATAATATTATTAAAAATTTTAAAAAATATTAAATTATTAATTATTAAGTAATTTAAATAATATTATTAAAAATGTTAAAATATTAAATTATTAAATAATTTAAAATCATGTTAAATTATTAAATAATTTAAAATCATATTAAATTATTAAATAATTTAAAATCATATTATATTATTAAATAATTTTATATTATTAAATTATTTTAATATTATTAAATAATCCAAATTAATTAAATAAGTTATTAAATAATAAAAAAGTATTCAGTAAATTAGAAATATTAATTAATTACCGAGTTCATTCTTGGGTACAGCTTCTGTTCTAATGATTCAAGGTAAACATCGTATTTAATTTGCCAGGAAAGTCTAGGGATACGGGTTCGAGCCCACTACATGGTCTCATTACTCTCGACATTTCGATCACAGATGTGGAAAGGAATCCCGGCTTGAGAACGATCTATCCAGTCTATTTTTCTTTCGTTTCCTATATAGTGGGTTATTATTCCATATTGGAAAGTGTTGCGAAACCCTAAATTGCATTGTCAGCCGATGTATACCTAATTATGACATATCAGACCACGTGTTCGAATTGAGGGCGGCGTAATTCATGTGTCTGAAACTTCAAATGAACACTTATTCCTGTGACTACAGAAGCCTCATTCCGTTAACCAGTTTTGACATTGTATTAGAAATTTGTGTTTGTGCAAAAACATTTCAACATTAAAAGCTTTGGCTACAATGATTGTGGCACTTTGTGTAGGAAGTTGATGACTGCGGCAGGTGTGGGGTAGTGTGGCAAGGTGACAACTGTGGCAGGTGTGGGTCGTAAGGAAAAGTGACAAATGTGTGTGCGCGAGATAAATCTAAGCTCACGCTGTATGATATGGCAACCTATCTTATTACCAGGGATAAAATATATGAAATCTTTGCACTGTATCCATATTTCACTTCCAGTAGATAAACGACATATGAGATTAAGAAACAAATAGTGCATTGTGAAAACAAATAATAAACAGCAGCTCCCCAATGACTGTAATATGTCCATTGCTCAAACAATTATGTATTAGCGATAAGACCTACCATTAATGTAAAGACTTACTGTAAATATATAGCTCTTGAAATAGAACATTCTCTATAACTAGCTGACATGTAACTATACGGTGTGAAGGATAGATGAAATTATTCATGTAATAATTTACAATGAGGTCTGATAAAGACCTTTAGGGCCCTCTGTAATGCTTTTTGCGCTACCGCTCACAGGATGAGTATGGGGTGCACAATAATCTAGCCGCCTCCGGTGGCAACAATCAAATCAATGTGGAATCTAGAAGTGGGTCGTAAGGCAAGGTGACAACTGTGGCAGGTGTGGGAGTCGTAAGGAAAGGTGACAACTGTGGCAGGTGTGGGAGTCGTAAGGCAAGGTGACAACTGTGGCAGGTGTGGGAGTCGTAAGGCAAGGTGACAACTGTGGCAGGTGTGGGAGTCGTAAGGCAAGGTGACAACTGAAGTAGATGTGGAATCCTAAGGCCAGGTGACAACTGGCGTGATAGTGTGGAAAACTGTACAAGCATGACCTTACTCTGCGTCGCTTGTGACAACATGAAGGTCTGTGAGGCTCTCGATGGTTAAGGGGTCGTAGGGCGCCAGCGCATCCTGAAGAATCACCGTCAGTTCTGGCTCCAGGATCCGTACTGCTGTGGAGGGATTGATTCAACTGTCAGCAACAGATGTTCGGATGAAAGAACAGGCGCAGTGTTCGTAATTTCATATAATTTTAGTAAAATTATACATGTTGTATAACTGATGTCGATGTATAAGTTAAATTAGAAGATATATAAATTTATATTATAGTAGAACTTTAGTAATCTAGACAATTTAATATCTTCTGATATATTTGTTATTGTCATTTATAAATATAAACATTTTAAACATATAAAGATAAAATTTATTAATTTGAAAGTTTAGATGAGTCAGAAAGACACAAGATAATTAGCGACGCTCACAGCTTGACAAGTTCATCTACATAAGGTGGCGAATGATGTGCAGTCAGATATGTTCACTTACACAAAGTGGCGAATTATGTACACAGTTAGACGTGTACACTTAAACAAAGTGGCGAATGATGTACACAGACATATTCACTTAAACAAAGTGGCGAATGATGTACACAGTGAGACAAGGAAACTTATACAAAGTGACGAATGATGTACACAGTCAGACAAGGAAACTTATACAAAGTGACGAATATTGTACACAGACATTGAAACTTACATAAAGTGATGTACACAGTTAGACATATTCACTTGCACAAAGTGGCGAATGCTGTACACAGTTAGACATATTCACTTGCACAAAGTGGCGAATGCTGTACACAGTTAGACATATTCACTTGCACAAAGTGGCGAATGCTGTACACAGTTAGACATATTCACTTGCACAAAGTGGCGAATAATGTATACAGTCAGTCGTGTAGGCTTATAGAAAGGGGTGAGTGACGGGCACAGGAATGTCCGTCTACACAACGTAGATGAATAACAAAGTTACGTACAGCGGGAGGCGGGTGACGCTGACGCCAGAAGCGTGACAGCCAGGAAGGTGACAAATCTGAGCATGGCGCTGTTCTACGTTCCCGAGCAGTGTGACACAGTCAAGCTCTGGAAAATATAGAATTACTTCATACATCACACAATAAAATTTTTCCTTTGTAATAATCCATTATTATTACCATCCTAACTCTTTCGAGTGTGATATGCCAACTAACCATTATTTTATAGTTTTTAGTTTGTGTTGTAAGGGAAATATGTGTGCTTAGGGGTACCTTCTTCTCCCCATGCCTAGCGGTTGGGGGGGGGGGGACAGGGGCCCTGAAGCTATATAAAAACCATACAGGCCCAAAAGGGGGCAAGGGTAAGTAAGGGAACAAAAAATAGCGGAACAATTCTAGAAGAATTGAAGGCTACTTCAATTCTAGAAGGCTACTTCTAGAATATATGGAATTCTAGAAGTAGCCTCAGTGAAGTTTATATTGGTTTTGGCAATTTTAGGAGAGCTCTCTGTCGCTTAAACAGTGAATCTAATGGGGACCTACCTTTGAATCACTTGAGTGGTAGCTGCCTTGCCTTGTCGGTATTTATATACCAAATAACTGCCCCTCCCACCACACTCCAAGCCACGCCCAACGACCCTAATCAGGAGAGATATGGCAACAAACAGGTGGCTTGAACACATGTTATTGGTCTCACGCTTCTCCATCCAACGTAAATAATTTCCAAAAATATATCTCCTTCAAGACCGAGGAAATGGAAGTATCAACACAGAACCTCTACATCAGTGGATTGAAACTTGTGAGGTGGGACCGAGGAGCTGAAGCTCACACCCCGCAAATACAATTAGGTTAATACAGCTGAAGGGCGTCTTCCATTCACTCCGTACCTCTAGAATACAGCAAGTAAAACTAATTATCGATAATGACTTAATCATAGTAAAACTAATGACATAAGGAAAATAAATCGAAAATTTTATTTCTCCAGATGTCTAAAATTGTAGACATAAAACGCCAACAATATATATATATATATATATATATATATATATATATATATATATATATATATATATATATATATATATATATATATATATATATATATATATATATATATATATATATATATGACAATGTCAGACCACGGAGGAAAAATGAAACAGGAATTTCCTTTAGTACTTTCGTATATTAAATACATCTTCAGAAGGTCCTTCTGAAGATGTATTTAATATACGAAAGTACTTAAGGAAATTCCTGTTTCATTTTTCCTCCGTGGTCTGACATTGTCACATTCTTAATCACGTGTTTATTTTCGTGATACACACACACACACACACACACATATATATATATATATATATATATATATATATATATATATATATATATATATATATATATATATATATATATATAATATATATGTGTGTGTGTTTTAAACGCTACAATCATTGCAAGTTCAAGGTTTCTGTGAGAACTACAGAGTGTGTTTTATTTATAACTGTGTGGGGTAGCCAGATCTCTCTGTCTCTGTCTCTCTCTGTCTCTGTCTCTGTCTCTGTCTCTCTCTCTCTCTCTCTCTCTCTCTCTCTCTCTCTCTCTCTCTCTCTCTCTCTCTCTCTCTCTCTCTCTCTCTCTCTCTCTCTCTCTCTCTCTCTCTCTCTCTCTCTCTCTCTCTCTCTCTCTCTCTCTCTCTCTCTCTCTCTCTCTCTCTCTCTCTCTCTCTCTCTCTCTCTATATATATATATGGTCTCACATATTCACATATATATATATATTGGTCTCACATATATATATATATATATATTGGTCTCACATATATATATATATATATATATATATATATATATATATATATATATATATATATATATATATATATATATATATATATATATATATATATATATATATATATATATATATATATATATATATATATATATATATATATATATATATATATATATATATATATATATATATATATATATATATATATATATATATATATATATATGTCGTACCTAATAGCCAGAACGCACTTCTCAGCCTACTATGCAAGGCCCGATTTGCCTAATAAGCCAAGTTTTCATGAATTAATATATTTTCTCAATGTTTTTTCTTATGAAATGATAAACGTACCCATTTCATTATGTATGAGGTCAATATTTTTTTAATGGAGTTAAAATTAACGTAGATATATGACCGAACCTAACCAACCCTACCTAACCTAACCTAACCTATCTCTATAGGTTAGGTTAGGTTAGGTAGCCGAAAAAGTTAGGTTAGGTTAGGTTAGGTAGGTTAGGTTGTCGAAAAAACATTAATTCATGAAAACTTGCCTTATTAGGAAAATCGGGCCTTGCATAGTAGGCTGACAAGTGCGTTCTGGCTACTAGGTACGACATATATATATATATATATATATATATATATATATATATATATATATATATATATACAGATCCTCAACACAGTTCATACAGTTCAAATAAAGTAAATATATATGTGTACATACAAAAGAATGGGGGTGGTAGGAGAAGATAATATTAGTGTTCAGTGAGAAACCACAAGGTCTCCTCTGAATACTTTTTACTTTCTTCTCCGAGGCTATGGGTCCCCACATTGGCACCAGAGGTGGTACCCTCACAAACTTTTATATATATATATATATATATATATATATATATATATATATATATATATATATATATATATATATATATATATATATATATATATGTCGTACCTAGTAGCCAGAACGCACTTCTCAGCCTACTATGCAAGGCCCGATTTGCCTAATAAGCCAAGTTTTCTTGAATTAATATATTTTCTCTATTTTTTTCTTATGAAATGATAAAGCTACCCATTTCGTTATGTATGAGGTAAAAAATTTTTTATTGGAGTTAAATTTAACGTAGATATATGACCGAACCTAACCAACCCTAACTAACCTAACCTAACCTATCTTTATAGGTTAGGTTCGGTTAGGTAGCCGAAAAAGTTAGGCTAGGTTAGGTTAGGTAGGTTAGGTACCTCGAAAAAACATTAATTCATGAAAACTTGGCTTATTAGGCAAATCGGGCCTTGCATAGTAGGCTGAAAAGTGCGTTCTGGCTACTAGGTACGACATACATATATATATATATATATATATATATATATATATATATATATATATATATATATATATATATATATATATATATATATATATATATATATATATCTGTTTCGCCATGTGTTAGCATGTCCTTATATTTAATAAAGTCGTCTCTTATATGCTGTTATGGACATAGTATGATTACTATTTATTTTTATTTTCCTGAGATAAGAGCATAATAGTTCATATCACTATAAGAAAAAGTATTGAATGTGTTTTCAAGGTGTTTAGCCAGCAAGTGTGTGTGGGAGTGTGTACTCACCTAATTGTACTTGCGGGGGTTGAGCTCTGGCTCTTTGGTCCCGCCTCTCTACCGTCAATCAACTGATGTACAGTTTCCTGAGCCTACTGGGCTCTGTCATATCTACATTTGAAAATGTGTATGGAGTCAGCCTCCACCACATCACTTCCTAGTGCATTCCATTTACTAACTACTCTGACACTGAAAAAGTTCTTTCTAATGTCTCTGTGGCTCATTTGGGTACTCATCTTCCACCTGTGTACCCTTGCGCGTGTGTCACCCGTGTTAAATAATCCATCCTTGTCCACCCTGTCAATTCCCCTGAGAATTTTGTATGTGGTGATCATGTCTCCCCCTAGTGAGTGTATGTGTGTGTGTGTATGTGATTGTGTGTGTGTACTCACCTAATTGTGCCTGCAGGATCGAGCATTGACTCTTGGATCCCACCTTTCGAGCATCGGTTGTTTACAGCAATGACTATGGTCCTATTTCCCTATCAAACCTAGATATAAAATTATGAATAATATTTGCTTCCACAACCTGTTCCTTAAGTGCATTCCATTTGTCTACTATTCTCACGCTAAAAGAAATCTTCCTAACATCTCTGTGACTCATCTGAGTTTCAAGCTTCCATCCATGTCCCCTAGTTCTGTTACTATTCCGTGTGAACATTTCGTCTATGTTCACTCTATCAATCCCTCTGAGTGTTTTATACGTTCCTATCATGTCCCCCCCCACTCTCCCTTGTGCTTTCTAGTGTCGTAAGGCACAGTTCCCTCAGGCGCTCCTCATACCTCATCCATCGTAACTCTGGGACGAGTCTCGTTGAAAACCTCTGAACCTTTTCCAGTTTCCTTATATGCTTCTTCTGAGAGGGACTCCATGATGAGGTGGCATACTCTAAGACTGGCCTCACGTAGGAAGTGTAAAGCGCCCTAAATGCCTTCTTACTTAGGTTTCTGAATGATGTTCTAACTTTTGCCAGTGTTGAGTACGCTGCTCTCGTTATCCTATTTATATGTGCCTCAGGAGATAGATTAGGTGTTACGTCCACGCCCAGTTCTCTTTCTCGCGTCGTCACAGGTAGGCAGTTCCCTTTCATTGTGTACTATCCCTTTAGTCTCCTATCTCCTTGTCCCATTTCCATAACTTTACATTTGCTCATGTTGAACTCCAGTAACCATTTCTCTGACCATCTCTGCAACCTGTTCAGGTCATCTTGGAGGATCCTGCAATCCTCATCTGTCACAACTCTTCTCATCAACTTTGCGTCATCCGCGAACATCAACATGCAAGACTCTACGCCTGTAAACATGTCGATAACATATACTAGAAATAGAATTGGTCCCAGCACCGATCCTTGTGGGACTCCACTTGTTACTGTTCGCCAGTCCGACTTCTCGCCCCTTACCGTAACTCTTTGGCTCCTTCCTGGTAGGTAGTTCCTTATCCATGCAAGGACCTTTCCTCCCACCCCCGCCTGCCTCTCGAGTTTGAACAGCAGTTTCATGTGCTGTACTGTATCAAAGAATTTTTGGCAGTCCAGAAATATGCAGTCTGTTCAATCATCTCTGTCGTGTCTTATCATCGTTATTTTATCATAGAATTCCAAAAGGTTTGCTAGGCACGATTTCCCTTTCTAGAACCCATGTTGATGTTTGTTCACAAACCTAATGTTCTCCAGGTGTGCAACCAGTCGTAGCCTAATTATTCTTTCCAGTATTTTGCATGGGATGGTTGTCAGTGATACAGGTCTATAGTTAAGTGCCTCCTCCCTATCACCTTTCTTGAAGATCGGCACGACATTTGCCTTCTTCCAGCAACTGGGCAATTCTCCTGACATAAGTGACTCATTAAAGATCATTGCCAAAGGCACGCTGAGGGCCTGCGCTGCTTCTTTTAGTATCCATGGTGATACTTTGTCTGGTCCAACAGCTTTAGTTGCATCCAGTGTTGTCAACTGTTTCATTACCTCCCGTGCTGTCACCTCTATATCTGATAGTCTTTCATCTTGGGTAATCACTTCCAACAATGGGAGCTGCTCAGGCTCGGTAGTGAACACTCCATGGAAACTGGCATTCAGTGATTCGCAGATTTCCTTGTCACTTTCAGTATATGCCCCCTCTGTTTTCATTAGTCTTGTCACTTGGTCGTTCACCGACATTTTTCTTCTTATATGGCTGTGT